AAGAAGAAAAAGGTCAGTTTCTCTCCTGCTTCCCATAGTTCCAATGGGGTGCTTGATTATATTCACTCAGATTTATGGGGACCCTCTAAATTTCCTTCCATAGGAGGTCGTAGATACATGATGACAATTATTGATGATTTCTCTCGTAAAGTTTGGGTTTATTTCTTAGGGCACAAAAATGAAGCCTTTTCTGCATTTAAAAAGTGGAAAGTGCTAGTTGAAACTCAATCAGGAAGGAAAGTTAAGAAGCTTAGAACTGACAATGGATTGGAATTCTGTGAAAATGAGTTTAATGAATTTTGTTCCTCACATGGAATCGGAAGACACAAAACTCTAGTTAAAACACCTCAGCAAAATGGTGTTGCCGAAAGACTTAACAGAACAATTCTCGAAAGGACTCGGTGTATGATGTCAAATGCAGGTTTATGGCATAGACGTGATTTATGGGCAGAAGCTGCAGCAACAGCTTGTTATTTAATCAACCGTTCTCCACATAAGTCGTTGGATTATAAAATTCCAGAAGAAATTTGGACAGGTAAACCAGTTGATTATTCCAAATTAAGAATATTTGGTTGCCCATCATATTATCACGTAAATGAGGGTAAGCTCTCTCCAAGAGCTAAAAGGTGTTTATTTCTGGGATATTCTATGGAGTCAAAAGGCTATCGTTTTTGGTGTATTGAATCTCACAAGGTTATTCAAAGTAGAGATGTTACATTTAATGAAGATGCCTTATTTTCTGTCAAAGATGGTACTTCTTCGTCCCATGATGCAGAAAATCTTGAGACTCCAAGAGACAAGGTGGAGTTCGAACAACAAGATTCACCTACCCATCTATCTTCTCTAGAGTTAAATCCTAGTGAAGTTCAAAATGAGGAAATGCCACCTCAAGTGCCACAAGATTATATCTTGGCTCGAGATCGGCCAAGGAGAGTTATACAAAAACCTGCTCGATATAGAGATGATGAGCTTGTTGCGTATGCTCTCGCCGTTGCACAAGAAATTTCAGAAGAAATTGAGCCTGCTTCTTTCAAAGAAGCTATATCTTGTGTAGATTCATCTAAATGGCTTGCGGCAATGAATGAAGAAAACGAAAGTTTGTTGAAGAATAATACATGGGAATTATGTATCCTTCCTACGGGGAAGAAAGCACTTTCAAATAAGTGGATATACAAAAAGAAAGAAGGAATTCCCGGTATTGAAGAGGCAAGATGGAGGGCGCGGTTGGTTGTTCGCGGCTGCAACCAACGTGAAGGTATTGATTTCAATGAAATCTTTTCTCCTGTTGTGCGTCACACTTCCATAAGAATTTTGCTCTCTTTTGTTGCTCTCTTTGATTTGGAGTTAGAGCAACTTGATGTGAAAACTGCTTTCCTTCATGGTGATCTCGAGGAGGAGATATACATGAAGCAACCAGAAGGCTTTGTGATTCCAGGAAAGGAGCATATGGTTTGTCGCTTGAGAAAATCATTATATGGTCTCAAGCAAGCTCTTAGACAATGGTATAAGCGTTTTGATACTTTTATGATTGGAAATGGTTATACACGAAGTCAATTTGATAATTGTGTATACTTCCAAAAATTTCCCGAGGGCTCCTACATTTATCTACTTCTTTATGTTGATGACATGCTTATTGCTTCTAAGAACAGAATGTTGGTCGAAAGGTTAAAGTCACAACTAAAAGGAGAATTTGAGATGAAGGACCTTGGAGCAGCAAAGAGGATTTTAGGTATGGAGATCCAAAGAGATCGACAAGCTGGTAAATTATTTTTGAACCAAAGAAAGTACATTGATAAGGTACTTGAAAGGTTCGGAATGATTGATTGTAAGCCCACTTCTACTCCTCTCGCTGCTCATTTCAAGTTATCTGCTGCTTATTGTCCAACAACAAATGAAGAAGTGGATTATATGTCTAGCGTTCCATATTCGAGTGCAGTTGGTAGTTTGATGTATGCTATGGTCTGCACAAGACCCGATCTTGCATATGCAGTAAGTGTTGTCAGCAGGTATATGCAAAATCCAGGAAAAGAACATTGGAATGCTGTGAAGTGGATACTTCGGTATTTGAAGGGAACCCGTGATATGGGTCTATTGTTTGAGAGGAGTGAAAATCCTTCCAACAATATTATAGGCTTCACAGATTCTGATTTTGCAGGTGACTTAGATAAACGGAAGTCCCTTTCCGGATATGTTTTCACTCTCTGCAATTCATGTGTTAGCTGGAAATCTTGTTTGCAACCCGTAACTGCTTTGTCAACTACAGAAGCAGAGTATGTTGCTATTTCTGAGGGGGTTAAAGAGGCTATTTGGTTACGTGGCCTAGTTATTGAGCTTGGAGTTGAACAAACTGTTTCAACCGTATTTTCGGATAGTCAAAGTGCCATTCACTTGACTAAAAATGACATGTATCATGCGAAGCCAAACATATAGAAGTCAAGTACCACTTTGTCCGAGATGTTATGGTTGCAGGTGATATTAGTGTGAAGAAAGTTCATACTGACAACAATCCTGCAGATATGCTCACTAAAGTTCTTCCTTCAACTAAGTTTGATCGTTGTTTGAACTTAGTTGGAATTCGAAGAGCTTGATTACCTCTCAGAGGTTTCTGGACAAGTCTTTCTAAATTTGATTCAAGGTGGAGATTGTTGGTATTGATGCCTCAAATTAATTCAAGACTTGGAGTTATGGAAGACACTTGAGGTTACTTGGGGTTATGAAAGTTAATGACCACATGGAGTTAATTGTGTGGAGTTTCCATTTGGTTAATGGGAGTGCCGTTCACTTTTTCTTTGGCATCTCATCAGCCATTTTGCATGGCTATAAATAGAGAGTCTATTGTTGTTGAATAGACACACCAATTCCATCCAACTCCTTTCTTCTCCTAAAGTGTAGAATATCTTCTTGAGTACTTTTCTTTTATGTTGGGAGTTTTCTACTTACTCCACAACTTTGTACGTTGAAGATTATTCCTTGATCATAGTGGATTTACTGGCTTGTCCAGCCCGTGGTTTTTCTCCCTCTTCTTTGGAGGGTTTTCCACGTAAAATTGGTGTCTTGTCTTTGTTCATTCTCTTCTCTGTTTTCTTGTTCGATTTCATATTGGGTTTGCTTCCGCTAGTGCTCATTTATATCCAGGTTCAAAAGTCTTTAAAAGACAACAATTAAATGTTCATCTTCGATCGTGATCTCAACGGCTGAATACATACATACATACTTTTATTATTGTTGAAAGCAGAAATGCAATCTAATTAGTAACTTTAACCCATTTTCAATCACTTGTCTGTTTGAGCCATGTTAGTGAGCTGATGTACAATTAACGGAATTCTGCAATCCGCTTGTGGTGGTTTTCCGATCTATCAGTTCCTTTTCCCCCCGACATGAACACGATATCGACCATCTCCATTGATTGGAATTCACTTCCTTGTCCAAATACTAAATAGCCGGTTTCGTCAATCATTGAGGCAGGAAGCCACATTCCCAAAATATCAAGAGGTATTATTGTTGGTATTCAAAAGCTTGATATCCCTACACTATTTTTTTCTTCTGTATATATAATTGCATTTATGTCTTCATATATATAAATATATTCTTTCGATTTTCAGTATAGAATTTTACTAATATAAAACAATTGAGCCACGAATAAATAAGCTATAGCTTAAGCAGAACACACCTTATCATTTACCGTATTCAAACGTGAAAACCATATTGGGGTGTTCGTACGTCCATTACATTACAGATATTGAGATATATATATATATATATATATATAGCAAGTATAGCTTTGCTTCGTGTCCCCTCCAATAATAAATATACTTAGTATTAATATTATTATCGTCTTAATTATTATTATATTTATTCATTCATTAGAGATTCCGTAGGAGGATGGGATTGGGAGATAGCTTCATTTACTCTCATGCACATGCATATGCTCCATCCTTCCCCCACCACCAACCCATGAATCATGATATTAACATCGCATCATATAACCAAATTAGCAACCCTCCCATCACTTGCGCATATAATATTTGATAACTTTGAGTAGGAATGGCAATTCATATTCCGCTCCGATAAATATTTTCCGACTTGCTGATTTGTAATCGGCAGATAAAATTCAACTCGCATTAGAATGAAGCGGGTTGAGACCCGACCCGTAGTTAGAATAGAACGGACATGAACACTAATGATCAACCCGTAGCCCGCCCCACCTTGATTTGTGACCTGTCATGTCCCGTCCTTAGAATTTGGTGAAATAACAAATTTAGAGAGTAAGACAGATCACGAATTTTCATGTTCCGTCCTTAGAATTTGGTGAAATAACAAATTTAGAGAGTAAGACAGATCACGAATTTAGTAGTATCACACCTCAAACCTGACTCTGTTACCAATTTACCATATTCCTGACTTTGCTCATACGATCACGCATTATCGTATAAAGTTTACTGATTCATAAACTACAAAGTAACTCACTTCTGATGAGTGTTGTAGTTAAATGTTAATTACTGTTTTCTCTACGATTGATTCACCCATCCACTAGAACCCAAATCTACTATTGTTTAAACCCACATACAGATCAACGGGAAAAGAACAGCCAAGATTCAAATACAGACACAAGTTGGAGCAAACGGACAAAAAATAACCCAGAGTTAAAAAAAACAACACAGTAAGATACAAACAACACAAAACCTACAAAATGCTCTTGATCTAGTGTTAATTAATTACGATATATCGTATTAATCTAATTATTATTATTATTTAACTTTTTCATCACGTCCCCTCGCCCTCCGGCCAAGTCCCAAGAAAAACTACATTAAATGTTTTCCCTCCGTCCAACGTACTAAAAAGTTTCTTACAACAGCAGCATCAGATCCTCACATGCAACGCAACACTTACCGTTTCCACCTTCCCTCGACGCTTCCCATCAAAAATTTCCCCCACTTCTACTAACATTAATTAACACTAGATCAGGATTAATTAATCGTTAATTACTTAACATAAAACAAAAAACAATAATTAATACTGCCTGACCCGATCGGAACCCGAACCCAATTCTGCACCGACTCTACTAAGCTAGACTTCGTTGCTGATCAAGATCCCTTTCCCTTTCCTTTGCGGCGGCGGCGGCATCATCATCGAATTCTTGCAATGCGCAATCGCACCTTGAATCGCGCTCTGCAGCTCCTCCATCGACGAAGCGTCGCCGTAGCTACCACCGCAACCCGCTCCTCCGCCGGGTCGGGTATTATTATTATTATTGTTGTTGTTGTTGTTATTACCCGACCCGCTGGCGAACCCGCTCCGGGACAGGACGCCAGAGTGACTCGGCGACGACCGCATCGACGACGGACAGCTGGACGCGATGCTGCTCCGCTTCCTCGGGTACCTCAAGTTCCCGGAGAAAGAGTGCGAGAATCCTCTAACCGGCGCCGTTTTATTGCTATTGCTGCTACTACCTTCCACCGTCCCGCTGCTGCTCCTGTGAATCACCTTTTCCTCCGCCGCAGGGTCAGAAACGACATTTCCCTTACCGGATCTCACGTCTCCCGAGGCGAAAACGACGCCGTTCGGGTAAAGCCCCATTTTCTGCTGCTGCTTGTGAGAGAGCTTCTCGTAGAGTGGTTTAACTTTCTTCAAGTACTTCCTGATGACGTCCTTCGCCGTCGTGCTCATTCGCCTCACCGACGATCCGGCGACGTTGACGTTGTTTTCTCCGGCGGCGGGTTTGGAGCTGTCCTTCTTGAAGACGGAGGAGAATCTGGAGAGGGAGAAGTACTTGCCGTTCTTTTTTGCGGCGCCGCCGGTGAGGCGCTTGAGCTCGTCGGCGAGTTCGTCTGCGGCGGCGGCGGAGCTGGGGCGGGAGGAGTCGCAGAGGGAGTCGCCGACGGCGAGGAGGAGGAGGTCGGAGGAGGCGGCGGAGGAGGAGGAGGTGGAGGAGGAGGTGCTGCCGGTGGAGTCGCGGGAGGCGGTGGCGTCGGAGGAGGAGGAGGTGGAGGAGGAGGCGAGGAGGAGGGTGCGGACCATGGAGATCCGGGGGGAGAGGTGGAGCGGGAGGAGCTGCCCCTTGTAGAAGAGCTCGTCGGCGGGGCAGATTGCCGGGGAGGATTTGCGAGGGGAGAGGGAGATTGTGAACTCGAAATCGGAGGAGGAGGAGGAAGAAAAGGAGTGCGACGGCGACGGCGGGAGGGTTTGGGAGGATCTGGAATCGAGCTTCTCTCTTCTCTTCCCCATTGCTACTGTTTGGTTGGGAGAGAGAATTGGAGAATTGGATGAGGATTGGTTCATATATGCATAATAATTGTGTGTGGAGAGAGGGATCTCGTTTTTTGAAAAGGGGAAGGAAAGTCGGTTGACCTTCTCACGCGCTGGGATTGGGGGAGAGTGGGGAGCAAGCGCCGCCGTTAACGGTGGCGGTGTGGGGGCGGAAGGGGGGCGCAGAGGGAAGCACATGGGATGGGGACGGAGGGAGGAAGAGGAAGTTGGAAAGTCTCTTTCGGAAGAAAGGAAGTGATGATAATAAACTAATAATTTAGGGTTTCAATTCAATTGGTTACTGGTTAGATTAGGGAAAGAAAGGCTGAGGAGGAGATTGGGCGAACGAGGAGTCACGTGCATGGAACGTGAAAGATGGGTCTGGCTCGTGGGTCTCTTTCAGTCTCCGGGTTCGCCCAAAAATTGGCTGGGTCCATAAGTTAATTACGTTTTTGCAAATTGGCTATGCTAATTATGACGAAAACGCCTATCTAATTAAGGGGGTGGTGGGTTCACGAGAATTGGGGATTGGGACAAATGACAACTCATTCACTTGTTTGCTGAGAGTCCTCGCCGCAAAGATCAAATCTAAGTCACTTGGATATTTTGTTGCGAAAACATCAAAACGTCGAAACAACATTCGTCGATTTCAACGATTCGATAACTTATTAGAATTATGTGCGTCTGTATACAACGCAATTAAAGAAATCGATTTGCTTGTGTCGATGACAAAGAATGCGGTGAGTATGGGTGTGTCGTCTCTATTTAAAGAATCTATCATGAAAAAAAAAATAATTGTGAAGAAATTCTTCAACATGTGATCAAAGTTTGTATTGGCAAATGGATATACGCAACTATATGTGTACCTAATGATTAATTAAGGGAAGCAAAAGGCGGGGGTGGCCGTAATTAGTGCGAGCAGCATCTGCTGATCATCATCACTCATTTCACAGTTGTACTGCCAGTTATATTAGCAGAGATACAGCAGCAATTTATATATAATTATTATTCTCATCTGTGAAAAACGGAGAGAAATACGGTATTAGGTAGTTAGTTAGTTTATTATACATCTAAAGAAGAGAGAAATACAGCTGGGTAATGTTCATTAACAAAGTGGAAAGGGGAAAGGAGTGTTGATTTGGATGGAGATTTGCGTACTAATGAGGCTGATTAAGTAGCTCTATCTATTTGTGTTAATCATCATATTCACGTTTTCCCAGGCCTTTTTAATTTTGTTGATTGCTAGCTACGTGTCGGTCTCATGATGATGATCATGAGCCCAGCAGAGAATATATATAGCATGCATGAAGTAGGATGGGTTGAGTGGTATCATATATCATTTAGTTAATAAATTTTAACTACTCCAAATCATGTTATTTCATTGTATCGAAGCAATCTATGATGCATAATTTCTTTTTAAAGTAGAAAATAAGATATATTTGCTCACATACTCAACGTGCAAAACTTTATATATGGTGAGATATATAAATTAACAACCATATGAATTAAAATCATAAGATATAGATTGATTCGTCCATAAGTTGGTAATCGAGTTGGCTCTCTAGCCACATGTTAAGACATATCATGAGCTCTAAACGAGCCAGCTCACGAGTTTAGCTCAACAAGCCACCGAGTCGAGCTAGCTTGCGAGCTTCACGAGCTGAACAAAGGTGAGCTCTTGTTCGGCTCATTTATTAACGAGCCGAGTTTTGAACGAGCTTTTCTCAAGTCGAACGCCGAGCCGCTCGCGAGCAGCTCGGCTCATTTGCAGCCCTAGGTAGGGCTGGGCATGCGGGCGGATCATCCGCGGGTTTGGGCCGATCCACCCGCATTTGACCCAAATTTCGTTAAGTGGGTGGGTCTATGGGTGGGTGACGGGTTGCGCTGGGAGCCATCCGTCGGGTGGTGGGTGGGTTGTGGGTGAGTGCGCGGGTGACCCGCTCAACCCAACAACGAAAAGATCAAAGTTGTCGGCGGCTCGGCGCTAGAGAGGGGAGAGTGGAGACGTTAGACATAAACTAAGACTGCTCCTGGAGTTTGAACCTCAAAGCCAACCTTCCAAATAGCGATCCCCTCTTCTTCCCTTTATTTTTTCCTCTAATTCTTATCCCTAGATCACTGCTCTTTCCTTTGTGGAATTATTTCTTAGTTCCTTGCACCTGATAATCATCTCAATCTGTAGAAAACTCTTTCATAATAGATTTTCTATCCAATTTAAGAACCAATTCGACATTTTTCGCCCTATTTCATCTTCTTGTTTCCCACGATAACTCTCTTCACCTATTATCATGTCAAGTTAACTCATTTATATTATATACATTGTGATGTGGGTGAACCCACAAACCCACCCGAATCATCCACCATCCGCCCGACCCAACCCGAGACTAAATGTGGGTGGGTGGTGGGTTAAAAATTATCAATCCGTTTAAGCGCGGGTGTGTGCATTTTATGGTCAAAATCCACCCGACCCATCCAATGCCCACCCCTATGAGTGGGTTTTGACTTCAATTGATCTATTTATTTATTTGTGAATTGGTATAATTGTGACTTATTATTTACTTTTATATTTTTTTTGGTTGTGTTGGTTAGGTGGTGGATGGGTTCGGTTGGATCGTGGGTTAATTTGCAAAAAAATAATTTTCCGACTAGTCATTAAAAAGTTGATTAATATTTATCATAATTTATATTTCTCAAGTCTTAATTTAAACATTTTCCACTTTGTCTCATGTAGATCCGTGTAGCATTCGCATCAAAAATTTCGTTACTTTATAAATCAATTTGGTAGCGAAATTGATGTAATTTGCGATTATGATAAATTTATATTTTATAATTTGCCACCTAGTATTTAATGGACAACGTGGTTGGTTGAAGGAGCCTCCTACAACGTCGTTGCAATCAGTCACCACCACAATGTCGTCCTAGTTACTGCATAATTTCTTTGTCCATTATTGGTTACTTACGAGTACAACTCCTATGGGTTATTTAATGTAGTTAGTGGAGCTAAGTTTAGTTACTTTGAGCTTCCTTCTAATTAGATTAACGATTAGGTACGTACCGGATGACGCCGGACTAAACCGACACTTGAATCGGATCATACGAAATATAATATGGTATAGGTTTTGGTCTTATAAATTTTATAAATACAGAAAAGGATCTAATTGACATTTGGATTAAATCGTATACACTGTTAATAGTAAAATATATTTCACTATTGGACTGCAGCTCTCTTGAATTTGGTCCAATCCGAATCGAACCGGACAGTTACACACCCACGGATTATGCAAATGTAAATAGGGCATTTCGTGCGGCTTTTATACCTCTCCACGTACGTGCTTTGAGATATCGGGCAAATAGTGAATTTCATCCAACCTTTTTCTTATCCTACTTAATTTTATTCTTATATGTCAATAACCATGTTTGGAGAATACAGATCTCAGTCACTCGAGGGAGAGCAAACCAACAAATGAAGGCTACATTTGCTTAATTATTAAATAATTTCATACCGTCGATCGGTTTTATCGATCTAATTGCCAAAACACGTTAGTAATTGTTTTCGGTGATCGAATCACAGCCCAAATTTTAATAAACCGAAAGCACAAGGGAGGTTCAGCCGCAGGGGGGACCACGTAGATTGGAGTAAAATCCATGTATTAACTAAAGCTTAATCAATAAACTTAAAATTCTTCTAAACCCTTTGAAAAATGATAATCAACCCACCACCATCAAACAATGAGTTAGTACCAATAATCCTGATAATCATAATGCACCATTTCGTTACATATTCATTTCAAATGAAACCTAATTGGCTGGCTCAAAGTTTTCACATCTCATCATACTTTATACTTCAACCAACCATTAATATTGCGGGTTGTAAGAAATCCAACACTTCACTTCTCAGCCAAAGAATATGATATTTTGTTAAAAAAACCAATTCATTGCAATAATCGGAAACTGCTAAAAGAGTTCCAACAATAATTAATATGTATTTAAGAGTTTAAACATTAACAACCCCTTTCCTGACAACTCGAGTTATTTGGAACAAGTGGTTTGTTGGTTAACATGGTATTAATAGAGCCTTTGACGGAGAGGTCATGGTTTGGATTCCTTATGACAATCACCAATATAAACAACGGTTTAGCAAAATGGACGATATGACCAACTTGTGCAAATTGAAAGTCTAATGGTTTAGCGGCACAAGGATGATATGTTCAACATGTGCAAACTGAAAAACTAAAAAATAAAATAAAATTGTAGTAATTCGTTTGAGGCCTTGAGGGGCATGTAAGAGACTAAGAGCACAAATTATTTCTCAACAATTCGATTTATAAAAACTAATTGGTTTGTCCGTTAATGATGTATCATTAATTTACCTTCCCAACTAGAAAAATTAATTAAGCCCTAGCCCCTAGTAATTGCTGTAATTTCCTAGGTTTGTGAAACACGATGGCCGTGTGAATCTGTTGCGAGTGCGGCCACACCCTTCGAAATTGATAATGCTTGTATATTACTACTACGTACGTGTCATGAATTAAGCATCTCAATTGTACAATTGTACATAGCTAATCGCGTTTTGGGCTTCCTAAACGCCAGAGTTAATTGATTTTTATAACTTAGAGGTGTTAGCTCCCAAGTACCTCGAAGCTGCTGGGCCGTCGTCCTATGCTCCCAAGTACCAACCCAGCGTAACTTCCGTACGTCAACACTGTTCAAATTTAAATATGGTGTTCAATAAATAAATAAATTTCACCAGCCAAAAAAGTGGTCCATGGTAAGTTGCTTGTGGTTTGAATAGTTTTGGAGGGGTTTCCCAATTAGATAGGGCCAACTAAATACGTTGGTTCATTGTGTAGTAGCTGTGAGTCACAGTAATTCAGAGTGGTTTGGATGAAGTATTTTGAGTGAGTTATTTGGACATAAAGAATTCGTTTAACAACATATTATTAAAATAAGTTATTTGGGTAGTGAGTTATTTTGAAATAACTCATTTTACCTCTAAGTTTTTGTCAAATACCACATATATATGATTCTACCAAACGAGATACTTTAATACAATTATCACTGAAATAACACAGAAAC